TCATGGTCCTGTCCAGGTCACACTGCATGCCTGACTGTAAACTGCAGCTCTCATGGCCCTGTCCGGGTCACGCTGCACGCCTGACTCTAACCTGCGGCTCTCGTGGCCCTGCCCGTGCTGCTCGGCGTGCGTGCGTATGACCACAGCTCTCCTGGTGTACCTGGTGTGAGGTTTAGGCAGAGTGCCCGGTCCCTGAGGCACGATCACACAGACAGACAACCACAGGGCCCGAGTGGGTTGGCTGGTGCAACGCGGATCTTGGAGTTTAGAGAAAGCATCTTACTGACGGCGATGGGGAGCCTGGAGCCGTCTGACTGGAGGGTGGGCGCGTCGATCGTGTCTGGGTGGGTTCCCCGGCACTCAGGTCCCATGGAGAGACTGGACGTTCAGTGACGGGTCCGCCTTGGAGGCAGGGGGTAGAGGGGAGCATGGTGGTCCTGAGAGGTGGCCGAGGCCCCCCATGTCTGAAGCTGTGGGGACAGAGTCATGGTCTGTTAGGACCTTGAGGTCATCTAGGCCAGACCCCTCCTGTCGATCGCAGTCTGGGGAGATGACCTGGGTGCCCTCTGGTTTGAGGCCGCTGTGCTGTCTTCTCACTCGACCGGGGTTTGCGCACTTCGTTGCTCCTGCGTGTGGAGCCGACGATGGCCCTGCTGACCCTGTGGGGTGTCCTGGTCCCGCGTCCAGTGGGCGGGACATACTTGGCTCCAGTCGGCTGACACAGTTCTGGTGGCGGTTGCTGGCGCAGCTTTGTGGAGGGGTGCAGAGTGGCCTAGGAGGGGTTTATGGAGCCGGGTGCACTGCCACACGGGGGCTGGGGAGAGCGGGCGTGCCGGTTTCGGGGTGTCTGGAGTCGTGAGGTCGCAGTAGTTCTGACCTGAGCATGTCGGGCGTGCTAGAGAGTTGCATTCCGACGCTGGGCTCGGAGCTGGAAGTCCCAGGAAGCCAGGACTTCGGGTCGCGGTCCGTGCTCCATGGTCAGCTCCCGTTGCCGCCGCACGCCCTGGGGACGCACGTGCGAGGCGGGCAGTGCCTGCAGAGGAGGGAGGTGCTCCCGCAGACTGCCCTCCCCCTCAGGGCCCACAGGCTGGCCATCTGCTGGCCCCCGTGGGGCACAGGGTTGGGCAGCTGTTCATGGGAGGCGCCACGCAGCCTGGCCGGAGCTCGGTCTGCAGCAGTGGGCGCTGAGAATCACCCAGGGGCCCGCTCTGCGCCTGGGCCCAGGCGCCTGAGATGTGCCTGGGCTGGGCCAAATGTGGGCCTGTCCCTGGCCCCTAAGGCGTGGCTCAAGCTCTCTGGCCAGGCAAGGGTGGGGAGTGTGGGGGAGCAGATAGAGCCCACGGGCAGTTCTGCTGGGAGGGGTCAGTACGGGGTGAACTTGGACCTCCTCCATCCCCCAGGAGACCCCGGCAGGCCACTCTGACAGGGGGATGGTGCCCCCTGGGGCTGGGCCTGCGTGGATGCTGGGTGCTGCGGTGTGTCACTCAGGCACGGGCCCGTGTGGACGGTAATCAGGGCTGTGTCTGGCTGGCCCCTCATCCTCCCGCCCCCTACCCACTGTCACCCCTCCTGGCTGTGAGTGCCAGCCAGGCTCCTAGCCAGTGCCATAAAGAGCTGTGCTGGGCCCTGCCAAGAATGGGAGCTGCAGGTGTGTTTAACCCGGAAGAATGGGGGGCATCCGCCTAGCCAGGTGTGCGCAGGGCGGTGCCATGGGGACAAGCCCCTGGGCCGCAGGTGGCTTCATGTTGGGGTCTCCTGGGTGGCGCCATGTCCTCTGTCCAGCTGTCTCTGCTTCCTTCTGCTCGTCTTCTTCCTCTCGCCCGAGCGGCTGTCCCTGTATCCCTCGGCCCTTGCCCCTCACTCTGCAGAAGCCCTCATCCTCCCCCTGTTCATCCCACGTCCTCACACACTCAGCCCTGCTGGCCCTCATCCTCCCCGTGCTCACCCCACGTCCTCACACACTCAGCCCCGCTGGCCCTCATCCTCCCCGTGCTCACCCCACGTCCTCACACACAGCCCCGCTGGCCCTCATCCTCCCCGTGCTCACCCCACGTCCTCACACACTCAGCCCCGCTGGCCCTCGTCCTCCCCGTGTTCACCCCACGT